CAGACTTGTTTGGAAAAGTCCAAATAGAGGCTGCTGCAGAGGCCCCTGACCTTTCAAAAAATCCTTACAAACATTCCAACCAAGTCCCGTGCTTCCCCACAAAACATCATGTTAATTTACCAGGAGTTACAGTGTGGTGTGGTTTATCATCAAGAGGATTAATTGGACATTATTTTTTGATGCTATTGTGACTGGTCCCACTTACTTGAACTTACTGCAACAATTTGTCCTGTCAAGCATTAGAGAGGTCTTTGCAGTTGAGTTTATTTTCAGCAAGATGTGGCACCCCCACACTATCATTGTGGTGTAAGATCCTACCTTGATGAGATTTTGCCAAACAGGTGGATTGGACGAAGGGGTTTTGCAGAATACCCTCCTCGTTTACCAGACCTCACACCTCTCAACTTTTATGGGGATACTTAAGAGATAAAGTCTATGTTACAAAACTGGCAATAGTCTCGGAATTGAGAGTAGCCATTGAACAAGAATGCACTCAAATACCAAATGAAATGTTTCTAGACGTTTGGATTCCATTGCTTTGTGTTAGCAGTGCCTGGACCAGAACGGACATCAGTTTGAAAGGTGTTGACAAACAATTACAGTGTCTGTAGATTATATTCCATTTTGAAAAATGTATTCTTTTGTTTTATTTTTAAATGTATCTTTATTGTTGAAAGTATTACAGGTGTCCCCTTATTTTTCCATTTACCCCACCCCGTCTCCCCTGGGCCTTCACTACACTATTATTGGTGTCCATGGGTTATGCATATATGCATGTAAGTTCTTTGGGTAATCTCTTCCTGCCCCCACTTCCCTCAGAGATTCATCATTCTGTTCCATGCTTCTATGTCTCTGGATCTATTTTGTTCAGTTTATTTTATTCACTAGATTCTGCATAATGAGATCATGTGATATTTGTTTTTCTCTGACTGGCTTATTTCACTTAGCATAATACTCTCTCGGTCCCTCTTTGCTGTCTTAAAAAGTAGGAGATCCTTCTTTTTTACAGCTGCATAGTATTCCATTGTGTAACTGTACTACATCTTTTTTATCCACTCTGATGGGCACTTAGGCTGTTTCCAGATCTTAGCTATTGTAAACAGTGCTATGAACATATATTTTTTTGGATTGGTGTTTCAGGATTCTTAGGATATATTCCCAGAATTTGGATCACTGAGTCAAACAGCAGTTCCATTTTTTATTTTTTTGAAGAAACTCCATACTCTTTTCCATGGTGGCTGCACCACTCTGCATTCCCACCAGCAATGTACTAAGATTCTATTAGGGTTCCCTTTTCTCTACATCTTCTCCAGCACTTGTTGTTTGTTGTTTTGTTAATGGTAGCCATTCTGACAAGTGTGAGGTGATACCTCATTATCGTTTTAATTTGCATCTCTCTGATGATTGACTTTGAGGAGCATTTTTTATGTACAGGGCCATCTGTATGTCCTCCTTGGAGAAGTGTCTATTTAGGTCCTTTGCTCATTTGTTAATTGAATGGTTTGTCTTCCTTTTGTTAAGTTGTATGAGTTCTTTACTAGTATATATTTTGGAAATTAACCTCTTATCAGATGTATCATTGGCAAATATGTTCTCCCATGCAGTGGGCTTGTTATTTTGCTGATGGTTTCTTTTGCTGTGCAGAAGCTTTTTATTTTGATGTAGTCCCATTTGTTTATTTTCTCCTTTGTTTCCTTTGCCCTAGGAGATGTATCAGCAAACATACTGCTATGAGAGATGTCTGATATTTTGCTACCTATGGTTTCTTCTTGGATTTTTATGGTTTCACAACTTACATTTAAGTCTTTTTTTCATTTTGGGTTGATTCTAGTGTTTGGTGTAAGTTGGTGGTCTAGTTTCGTTTGTTTGCATGTACCTGTCCAGTTTTCCCAACACCATTTATGGCATTATTTGCAGATAACATGGTATTGTACATAGAGAACCCTAAAAACTCCACCAAAAAAACTAGTAGGCTTATTAGTAATGAGTTTGGCAAAGTAGCAGGATGTAAAATTAAAATCCAGAAATCAATGGCACTTTTATACACAATAATGGGCTCTTAGAGAAACTAAGCCCAGCCAGAGTGGCTCAGTGGTTGAGCATCGACCTCTGAACCAGGAGGTCACGGTTCCATTCCCGACCAGAGCACATGCCCAGGTTGTGGGCTTGATTCCCAGTGTGGGAGGTGAAGGAGACAGCTGATCAATGATTCTTTCTCATCATTGATGTTTCTATCTCTCTCTCCCTCTCCCTTCCTCTCTGAAATCAATAAAAAAAATTTTTAAAAAAAGAAAAACTAAAAAAATCCCATTTACCATTGCAACAACAAAAATAAGATACCTTGAAATAAACTTAACCAAGGAGGTATATGACCTGTATTCAGAAAACTACAGGACATTGAAATAGAAGAAGATACAAACAAATGTAAGAATATACCATGCTCATGGAATAGAAGAATTAACATAATCAAAATGTCCATACTACCCAAAGCAAACTATAGATTCAAATCAATCCCTATTAAAATACCAATGGCATATTTCAACAACAAATACTCCAAAAATATATATGGAACCAAAAAAGACCCCAAATAGCCTCAGCAATCTTGAGAAAGAAGTATAAAGTAGGAGGGATGATATCGAATTATATTACAAAGCCATTGTAATCAAAACAGCTTGGTATTAGCACAAGAACAGGAATATAGATCAGTAGAACATAACAGAGACCCCAGAAATCCCCCCAAGCCATTATGCTCAATATTTGAAAAAGGAGGCAAGAGCATACAATAAAGACAGTCTCTTCAATGAAGTATTGGAAAATGAAATGTATTTTAATAAACACTGCCTTTATAATTATTCGAAGTGTGTATACATTTTTGGGGGACACCCTGTGTATCTGCAAGGTAACTTTTTATAAGTAGATTTACTGGGCCAAAGAATATCCCTTTTAAATTTCTAGAGCTGGTGATAAATAATATCCATAAAAGTTGTTTCAATTTACACCCTCACAAACAGTGTATGAGGTTCTGTTTTGCTACAGTCTATCACAGAATGTCAGTAAACTGATGTGTGCAAAAAAAAAAAAGCCTCGTGTTTATTTGGATGAAAACACTTTGGAAATAGTACATGTCTATATCTTGTTAAGCTGAAGTATGCTCAACTGTAATTTAACCTTTTCTTAATGATTCAGGTTCTTTATTAGAAACTATATTTTTATAGGTTATAAAATCTGATGATCGTGTTTATTAAAATTATTCTTAAAATAAGAATAGATTTAGGGTGGGGTCCTGAAGGTTTCTCCTATGAGTAAAACACATGAGCTTTGGTATCTGCCCTAAACTTTTCATTTCCCACTTTCATGTGGGAAATAATAATCTAAAATTTTTAGATTATTATAATAGCCTCCTCCTTTATTATATTTGATAAACTTGCACTGAACATTTATCCCATCTTAGATGCAAAGGTACAGAGATGAATCTCAAGGAGCTCATATCTAAGTGGTAAAAAACAGAAGTTAGTAATTAATATAGTGTATATAGTGTGTGATAGGTGTTGGTGTAGACAAGATGTTATGGGAAGAACCCCACAGGGAACTGGCCTTATTTTGGTAATTAGGAAAGTGAAGGAATTCAAATCTGGTGAAGTGACAAATGCTTTCATTTGAGCCAAGTTATCAAAGGATGCATAAAAGCTAGCTAGCTAGTGGAAAAAAGAGAGTATGTATAAGCATTCCAAGCAAAATAAATAGTGGAGGGAATTCAGGTGCTCAAATGTGAAGAGACTTCCATACCATGTGAGAAGTTTGGAAATATTCTTAAAGAGATAGTTGGTCATTTTAACTCTATTCCATCCTTCCATACTATGCGATAGCTTTTTGAAACCATGTTATTAAACCTGAATTTGGACTTCACCTGTATTTCTAGCTGTGATCTCTCCATGCACTGACTGTGCCAGCTACACCAGAATGCTTGCTGTTTCCCAAACATGCTGCTCCATCAGGACTGCACGTCCTTCTACCCCTTATCAGATCCGTACAGATCTGCCTGCAAGGCTTAAATGCCACCTCCACCAAAGTGCTTCCCTGAACTTTTTCTCCTCTCACCCCTCTAGGTCAGTGATTTCAACCGATGTCCCACAAGAATTTTTAAGATATGCGATACCTGACTATTGAGTCAGGGGCACTGACCTCTTTTCCCTTAAAGATTGTCAGATAAAAAAAAATGACAACAGCCATATATCATCTAGCAGAGTAATCGGAGATACTCGGACATCTTCTGAGACACTGAGTCAATATCCTGTGTTGCTTAGGGTTTTTGGAGGAGCAGGGAGGATAGCTGGAAACTGATAGGACAGGGGTACCAGGTTCTATTTGACAATGATTTAGAGTAGCCCTTTGTATGTATCTCTACTTACTACCCTATAACATACATACTTATGGTTCCTTTTTAAAGTGCTGTGTATTAAGCTGTGAGCTTAATCAATGGGGTGGACTACTTGATGCCCTAGCTGGTTTGGCTCAGTGGATAGAGCCATTGGTCTTCAGACTGAAGGGTTTCAGCTTCCCTCCTGGTCAAGGGCACATGTCTCAGGTTGCAGCTTCGATCCCTGGCCCTGGTTGGGAGGCAGCCAGTCATGTGTCTCTCGCATCAATGTTTCTCTGTCATCTCTCTCCCTCCCTGCCACACACACTCTAAAAATCAATGAAAGAATATCCTCAGGTGAGGATTAACAACAAAACATGGCTATGACTAGAAAGAGGTAGGAAAGGATTTCTGGGGTGCTAATAACATTATCTTGCCTTACTTGGGTGCTAGTCACTTGGGAGATGTTCTTTGAAAAATTTATCATGATGTAGTAGTCTTTTAATTTTAAATGACCTCCCGTTTATTTTAGAATACCTTGCTTAATCTTGCTTTACATCATTTACAGCCAGCCTATCCTGACTGGCAGTTTTCTTATAGAGGCTTCTATGCTGCTTGTCTTTGTTCTTCCTCTTTCCCTCTATGGACAGACCTCCTTGAAATCAATAAAAACATCTTTAAAAATGTACTGCTATCAATCCTATTTCCTATTCCTCCAATTCTGAGGGTTCAGAGCCCACAGCAGATCCCTTTCGTCTCTTATTAGTGACGGCTTCCTTCCTAGCTCTGGTCTCTCAGGACCTCCCCTCCTTCCTACAAGTGGATGGTTCTCTATATGTGTCAACTCTCTTTGACCTCAGCTTTATTTTCCCCAAAAATTGAAGTCACAGCCATGACTTCTAGACTGCTGCAGGCTCTGTCCTGCAATGCTGAAAAATATCGCTCAGTCTTTAGTGTTGACAAGAATACTCCTTCCTGGGAAATGTAGTTTATTGACTTCTGAGTGGAAATCAGTGTTTTAAGACACAACTTTGGATACGATTCCGAGGTGGTGGGGAAGAATAAAGTTATTTCAGGATTGTGATTGATTTTAAGATATGTCTTCATTGTTTTAGAAAGCGCTAAGAACAATATGTAGTAACTGCTAAACTATAATTTTCATGATTCAGAGAATGCAAGAGGTCTTTCTTTTAATATACCCATATGATATTTGTAGTCATCTGAAATCTTTAGTTTCAAGGAAATGGAAAACTTTTGAGGGATCTACAAGTTCGAACATGCCCCCCTCTAACCAAGCTCAAAATGGTTGACATTCACAGCCCTGTAGAATATGTTACAACCGTCTATCCATACTGATCAATTTTAGAAGATACTGCTGTCACGTGATGTGGTTTCTTCTTTATGTGGCATATTAACTAACAAAAGGGAAGGAACGTGAAATTAACTGACTGCCATGCTTTGTGTGGCCTGGTGAATAAACAAAAAGTAATGGAGTATTTAGTCAACTATATTTATAAACTAGTCCTATACAATATGACTACATAGCAAAAGTCTAGATCAGCGATTTTTAACCTTTTTCATCTTAGGGCACACATAAACTAATTACTAAAGTTCTGTAGCTCACACAAAAATACGTTTTGTCGATCAGACGAAAAAATAGGTATTAATTTGATTTATTCACACTGGACAGCTATTGTTGTGTTGACTGTTGTCTTTTTTTACTTGACAATCTAAGAGAAGAGATCAGTGCCCTAACTAGTCAGGTATTGCACGTTTTAAAAGTTCTTGCAGCACACCAGTGTGCTGAGGCTAGATTGTTGAAAAATCCCTGGTCTAGATTGTCTTATTTTAGGAAAGTCTAAGAAACAGTTTCCAGAATGGGAAGTGGGGTGGGTTGGGGGGTGAGGAACCTGATTCAATCTAGCACAGTAGGCTTCAGCCACCATGCATGCAAGTAACCAGCAGAAACAGTCAAGCCCAGGCCTGGAACACAAGTAGCCAAAACCAGCTTTCAAGCCTTCCCCAGAGGGGCCAGAATAAGTGGCTGTGAAGCTACATCCACTTACCTACTCAGCTGACTCTAGCTCCCACATCTTCTATCCTTTTACGCACAGAGCTGGCTCAAAGTTAGAGCACCAGAGCCTGCATATAGTAAATGTGCAAGAAATGTTTCTATTCCCATAGCTGCTGCTAACACCACCACTGTTACATTATGTGAACACACACTGCCCGTAACCACAGGGTTCATGACAGCTACTTTGGCTTCACCCTAATGATAAGGACTAATGTTGACTGAGCTCTTATTTGCCAGGCAGTAGCAAGCTTTTTTTTTTTTTTTTTTTTTTACTTATAACACAACAATGATGCCAGGAGGCATGGGCTACTATTACTAACTACTACTTACTGATAAGGAAACTGAGACTCAGAAAGATTGTTACTCACTCACAGTCATTCAGTCAGGTGGAGAGCTAAAACTTGAAGCTAGAAGTTCTGAGTTCGGACAGAGCCCCACTCTTACCACTATCTGGTACCGCCTCTCCACCTGGTCTGCTAACATTGTATTACCAGCTTTCCTCTATTAGCTGAGCCCTCTCAACTCCCCAGGCACAGTGATTCATCACAATTATCTGGGTATGACACTACAAGATTCAGAAGTTCTCATTTGTTGAAATCAGTCCCAGGACCTACTGTCTCAGGCAGTGAGGAGAATAATGGCACCCTTCTCTGCTGCTTAGAGGGATGGAGCTAGGAATAGCAGTCCACACCAGGTCTCATGAGGATGAAATTTACAGGTAGTCCTATTCTAGGAAGAACCAGAAGCACAAAATGTCCCCATTCTTGGCTGGCTTGACAGTCCATTTTCCCACCTTGACCTCTATGCACAGTGGTTTAGTTTGAACTTCTGTGGGTATAATATATCTTTGATATTCAAATTTCTATTTCCTGTTAATTCTATCTGTCCCAAGAGATGACAAATATGAACTTTACATTCATTAGAAGATAAAAGCAAGCTTTGAAATGCAAGAAAAAGAACATTTGAGTAAACAGTCATAACATTTACATTCAAGTTCTATTGCAAGATGGCAAAAGTTCAGAAACATTAAGGACTATAAGTTTCATTAAATGGTTCCATATTTTTGTTGAAATATATAAAAATATTTTCTAAAAATATGACATAAAAGACAATGTAAAATTCATATTTTACAAAAACATTTAAGTTCATCCTCAAATGTTTCTTTTTAATAATCGAACTGCAACTTTCAGGTCTAGAGGGAAAGAGTCATTTTAAACCTTCTGTGACCACTGTTTACACATTTAAATTATGGGGAAGAGTCTATTAGAATTTAGCTTTTCAACTATTTAAAATAAAAGCAAGACACAAATCAGTATGCAGTCAGATGTGATATGAGAGCCAAGACAGTTCTTAATAAACCACGAGTTGCATTAGGTAGGAACCAGAGTCTAGAAACTCGTTTTCTTCTTCCTTCATTCCTGTTGGTAACTGCAGAAGTCCATATCATGCTCCCTTAAGTTTCTTATTGTTATCTTCACGTTATACATAGATCTCACAGTGCATTATACTCCACACATTTTGATGGATCTGTAGGAAAGTGCTTCTGGCAAATCGTCATTAACCTCTTCAATCCCTAAGAAAATAAAGAAAATAAAGGTTATGATACAGTGAAGCTTTTCTAATTGTCCTGTACTCACTCCTGATTACCAATATCCCCATTAAAATGTGGCAGTGTGGCTCGGTTGGTTGAGCATCATCCCAAGCACTGAATGGTTGCTGGTTCGATCCTGAGTCAGGGCATATACCCAGATTGTGTGTTCGATCCCCAGTCAGGGTATGGGAGGCAACCAATTGATGTTTCTCTAAACATCGCTGTCAGCCTCTTTCTCTCTTCCCATACCCCTCTCTTCAAAAACAATTTTTAAAAATATTTAAAAACAGAATCAAAATAATTTATAAATGAAATAAAATATGGCAGTCCCCAGCAATACCACTCACACGTATAATTAGAGAAATGTTTATTCATGTATACCCAGAGATATGTACAAGATGGTAATAGCAGAATTGTTCACAATAACAATAGCAAAAGAACCGGAAATAACCAAAATGTCCATCATAGGAGAATATATGAAAAAGTATGCTCACAAATGGAACATTTTACAGCAGTCAAAATGAATTAACTAGACCTACATGAAACAGCTCAGCCCTTCTCCACCAGGTTCCAGGAGAGAATTAAGCCCCACTGCCTAGCATAAAGCATCCATGTACATAATGAGACAGCTCCTTTCCTGTGTATCTAAAGGGTGCTACATATGTACCATCTTTGAAAAACATAATAGGCATGCCCAGCTGCTGTGGCTTAGTGGTTGAGCATCAACCCATGAATCAAGAGATGGCTGGTTTAATTCCCAGTCAAGACACGTGCCCGGGTTTCAGGCTCAATCTCCAGTAGGGGACATGCAGGAGGCAGCCAATCAATGATGTTTCCATCACTCTATGCTTCTCCCTTCCTCTCTAAGATCAATAAAAACATTTTAAAAGAAAATAGGAAGTCAAATCATCATCTGTGTTCTGTGGTCCAGATGGGGAATTCTGGTTGAAAACAACTGATAGGCATAAATCTTAGAAACAATGTTGAATGTAAACAGCAAGTGGCAGCCTAGCCAGTTTGGCTCAATTGATAGAGCACTGGCCTGCAGACTAAAGGGTCCTGGGTTCGATTCTGGTCAAGGGCACATGCCTGGGTTGCAGGTTCGATCCCCAGTGTGGGGGCATGCCAGAGGCAGTCGATCAATGGCTCTCATCATTGATGTTTCTCTCTCTCTCCCTTCTCTGAAATCAATTTTTAAAAATACTTAAAAAAATAACAGCAGCAAGTGGCAAAGGCTGCATACAGTATAATAGCATTTTAATAAAACTCAAAAACAAGAAAAAATAATATACTGCTTAGAAATACAGATATAACATGGCAGGATTATTTTTGAAAAAGCAAGACAAACCAGGCTGGTGTGTCTCAGTGGTTAAGTGTCAATCTATGAACCAGGAGGCCATGGTTCCATTCCTGGTCAGGACACATGCTCAGGTTGCAGGCTCGAATCCCAGTAGGGAATGTGCAGGAGGCAGCCAATCAATGATTCTTTTTTTTTAATATATTTTATTGATTTTTTACAGAGAGGAAAGGAGAAGGATAGAGAGTTAGAAACATCGATGAGAGAGAAACATCTATCAGCTGCCTCCTGCACACCCCCCACTGGGGATGTGCCCACAACCAAGGTACATGCCCTTGACCGGAATCGAACCTGGGACCCTTCAGTCCCCAGGCCAACGCTCTATCCAGTGAGCCAAACCAGTTAGGGCCAATGATTTTTATCATTGATGTTTCTATCTCTCTCTCCTCTCTTCCTCTCCATAATCAATAAAAATGTATAAAAAAAGAAAAAGCAAACATAAATTCAAAATAATGGCTATTCTGGGGTACAGAAGGAAAATACAGATCCATGAACTTCAAAATGCTCTATTTCTTAAACTAGGCCTTTCTTTTTAAAATCCCCACTCAAGGACATGCTTAGAGAGAGGAAGGGGGAGAGGAGGGAAACAGAGAGAGATACATCAGTTGGTTGCCTTCTGTACACACCCTGACCAGGGATCAAACCCACAACCTAGGTATGTTCCCTGAATGGGATTCGAACCGATGACCTTTCGGTGCACCGGACTATGCTCAACCAACTGAGCTGAGCCACTCCAGCAGGGCAAGGCCTTTAGATATGTTTTGTTTACTTTAACTTACATGATACATGTGTTCTTTTGTATTCATGAGATACTAAACAATAAGATTTTAATAGTGTAAAAACTGAGTATAACATTCCAAATGTGATCTGGCCAATCTTGCAGAATTCAGTATTATGCTACTGCACAGCCTTTGTTCTATACCTTTGGCATCTGTGGTACCATGGCCTTCAGTTCTTTTTAGACAACTACAATACACACCACAAATTCCCATGACCTCACAAATTTCAAGTGCTTTCTATCTCTTCTGCAATTAAATCAGTTATTCCCTAGTCTATAACTTTATAGTGATAATTACACTGATGACAAAAAACGTCATTCTTAAAAGTCATTCAGTCTCTTGCAACTCATCCTTCAGTCTGCGATCTTTTAAAACCCTTAGTTGGCATTCCGTTTTCAGTTATTCCTCTTAACTTTCTCATCCACCAGTTCTAAGTCATGCAAATTAGAATAGTTCTGGAAAGACTTCTGCAACCAGCAATGAATCCTATTAACTATTTTATCTACCAGCCTGCAAATGTTCTTATTTGCAAGGAGAACCTTTGTCAAATGTCTTACTGAAATCTATGTATCTACAGCAATATTGATTAGTCATTAAAAATAACAAAAAAAAATAACATCTACCAAGGATAGCAGCACTTAATTTTAATTACATCCAGTGCCATTTTGGGCACAAATTATTTTAAGGCTTCTCAGTTTGGGTTCACAAAAATTAAAATCACCCAACTTCAGGCCTATATTAGATATTGAATAACCTGATTATTAGTATTACTCCCAAATTAATTTTCTGTTCTTAAGAGCTTCATGACCTCGTGGGAAAGCAGAGTATCTATCTATATATATCTATATCTATATATATACCACTGGCTGGCAGGCCATGATTGGGCCTAATCGCCAGGCAGGCCTAGGGATTTCACTCGTGCATGAATTTCATGCACCTGGTCTCTGTAATAAATGTTGGAGCAGAAATGACAAAATAGAGACTAGAAGAAAAACAATAGAAAAAAATCAATGAGCTCTAGCCAGTTTGGTCAGTGGATAGAGCATTGGCCTGTAGTCTGAGAGTTCTGGGTTCAAATCTAGTCAAGGGCATGTACCTTGGTCAAGGGCAAGTAACTTTGGAAAATTAGCCACAGCAATCAGACAGGAAAAAGAAATTTTAAAAAATATTCAAATTGGAGAAGTAGTAGAACTATCCTTATTTGCAGATGGCATGATGCCATATATAGAAAACCCTAAAGAACACACACACACACACACACACACACACACACACACACACACACACACACACATGCCTAAGCAATCGTCCGACCAGTAGCTATGATGCGCAATGACCATCGGGGGACAGACGCTCAATGGAGGAGCTGCCCAGCTGCGGTGACTTGGCAGCTGTGGTTCTCGGGTGATGCACCCGTAACCAGAAAGAAGGGAGCCCAAATCCAGGGTGCGTCACCTGAGAACCGCCCTCTCGCAATCTGGGACCCCTTGGGGGATATTGGAGAGCTGGTTTTGGCCCGATCCCCGCAGGCCAGGCCGGGGGACCCCACCAGTGCACGAATCCGTGCACCAGGCCTCTAGTGTGGCTATAACTTCACAACCCAGCACCAGAAGAGCATATCTGGAATCTGAGGAAGGGTTAAAAAAAAACACCCTGAAATCATTTTTTTAAATGCTAATCTATATATATAAAAGCCTAAGCAACTGAACAAAGAAAATAAAACTATAAACACTTTAAAGTTATTTGTGTAGAGAAGTATTGTTGTTATATGTTACTTAAAAATTATGTTCATTAAAGCCAAATTTGTACTATTCACACTCCTTATCGTAGATGTTAAATTTACCTTAAAAATAACAAGATTGCAAAATAGTATAAATTTACTGCTTATCACTAAACTTCTAAAGCAAACTGCAATAGTCTTATTTCAATGCTAAGGTAACTAAAAGCATAACCCTTTGCCCTGTCTTGCATCATATATGAAACTTAAAAAGTTTTTATTTTATTTAGTGAAGATGTCTTAATCACAAGTATTTATAAGAAATGAACTTAAATCCTATCATGCTATATCCTATTTACTATAATTCCTTTGCTCTCAAAATACTTGGAACTGGAGAATGTTAACCTCCAGAGAAATGTCCTTTCTATCCAAACTGCTTACCTGAATATATTTCCGCTGTGTTTCATCATTTAAAACATGTGCAACATGCTTGGAGAAAATCTTCTCCCTACCCGTTCTGGCATGGATACCAACCATAGTGACACCAATGGGCCAAGGGGCATTTCCAATGGCCATCTGAAGATAAGCATCATTAGCCTAGAAAGAAAGATTAAGAAGAGATCAGAAAAACAGAAATAATGTATTGGTCCAAATTTTTATTTCAAGTATTTCACAACTCTTGATGCTATAATTTTCATCCATTTCTTAAGCATGTTGAAAATATTACCATCCTCCTTATTCAAACAAAAGAAACTAAAATATGTAATGACTGACTGTCCTGCCCAGGCCACAGATGTCCATGGAAAAACAGAAACCAAAGCTAACCTTGTGCGTAAAAGGACAAACATTCCTCTGCAGCCTCTGTGCACTGAGAGTTGATGCATTTCAGATCTGGAATTATCAGGTAGGTATTTGAAGTACTGACAGAAACCCTAGTGTGGATCTCCTTTCAACCTAGTCTTCTCAACAGGTGGTCACAGGGAAGACAGAGGCTAACTAGTTTTCCATAATCCAACCTGAAACTATGTCCACTCCCTGAACAGCAGTCAGACCTCTGAGAGCAGTGGGAGCTCTGCACGCTGGGACTGTTATATAAGGCCCACGGCAGATGTGTAAACAGAGATTAAATACTGGCCCATGAGTCAAATAGCTAAAGGATGAGATTGGCCCTCCAAACCTCCCACCTGGCAAGAACCTTAAAATAAAAGCTACAAAATGTAAAGACAGAAACCAATGAAGACAAATGGCTCCTTTTCTAAACCAAGCCTGGCGACTTGTGAAGAGGGAAAAAAGAAGTAGTAAAACAAAATAGAAAGCAGGTAAATTCTGAAAGACTCTGAGGGTCTCAGAGAAGCCTACATAGCCAGGCCTCAAAGAGATTTTAATTTAAAAACATCAAACACCTATGTGTTTGATGTGCGGTGTTGATTTTTTTAAAAATCAGGTACCACAAATACTAGGTTAACTGAAATACCTAATTCAAAGGTGTACAAAGGAATACAAATAGTAGGTTAACTGAAAGATCATTTCTACCCTAAAAATAAATTTGAATTTGCTCTACTCATTTTTTTTTCTTTTTTCGCCCGGTCTCAGTCCAAACACACTCCATCACTGGTTTCCAGAACTCAGATTGCGCAGTGGTCTTGTCATCATTGACCAGGGCTAACAGTTACAGCGGAAGAGGTCTCCCTAAGTCTCCCTCATCTCTAGCCTAACAGGTTGCTCATTTCTCCGTCCCGCTCCCCGATTCGCCTGACCTGTTATAATCCTCTTAGGCTCTGGGCAAGCATCGCTGCCAATTATATAAGGGGCCCAGTCATATAAGGAAACTACTGTGGGTACATCTGGGGCTGCATTGGGGACCCGGGGACACCCTGCCCTACAACCCTTGCTGCAGCGCCCCCATACCAACCTCCCGCTCCCACTCTGCGACCCCTGCCACCCACCACTGGCCTAGCTTCTCAATTTTTTTAAAGCTTAATTTTAAAAGGGCAGCCCTGGCCAGCTTGGCTCAGTGGATAGAGCGTCAGCCTGCGGATTGAAGGGTCCCAGGTTCAATTCCGGCCAAGGGCACATGCCTGGGTTGCAGGCTTGATCCCCAGTGGGGGGCGTGCAGGAGGCAGCCAATCAATGATTCTCTCTCATCATTGATGTTTCTATCTCTCTCTCCTTCTCCCTTCCTCTCTGAAATCAATAAAGAAATATATTTTTTTTTAAAAAAGGAGGGGCCACATGCTAACCTGACCCACTCCGGGGAGGCCTGGCCTTGCAAACTCAGACACCTAAAGTGACCACCCAGGATGTTCTGAAATTTAAAACAAACAAACAAACAAAAAAAAAAAAAACTTAAAAAAAAGGGGGGGCGTATACACATTTTTATCACTGATTTCTATGTATGTTAATTTTAATACTGGATATTAACTGAAAATTTCCAATATTTAGTTTCCCTAAATTTCCAAAGAAAACACCCCAAATAGGTTATTTCTCGGTTCTTTCTGTAGTTTACACAAAATAAACTTTTACCTGATTCTCATATATGAGAATGAGAAATGTAACAAGAGGAAAGGCAAGTGATCTAAATTCTTTCTGCAGTGATAGTGACCTAACCGTCCATTCCAATGCAGTCCTTAGTAAGTAGCATGCAACTAACAGAAACTATCTAAGAATAAAGTTTATAGCCATAAAACAAAAACATTTTCTTTGATGAAACTAACTGGCTCTCCTATAGAGGGAATAAAAACAATACCTTAGGTTCATGAGCATGAGGCTCTGATCAAGGAGACCACCCAATCACCCAGGAAGGCCAGCAGTCCCTTCTTGTGAATACAGATACTCAGAGGACAGAAATAAGCAATGTCATTCCCACTTTTCTGTCAGGGCCTGTCTCCTGTTCCGGAACTGTCACTCCAACTGCACTGAAATTCTTACCTGCTACTCTCTTGGGAGGCACAGTTGCCCAGAGCTCCCTCCTCACCCTCAGCTTATGGCCCACCAAGCAGTGTCCTTTACTGGTGCACTAGGCCCTTCTCTTCTTGGTCCCCTCCACCAACTGATAGTCTTCCACTCTCTCCTTTCTAAACTCTGCCCCAGCAGCACTTGGACACCAGAGCTCTTTCCCCATGCCACCTCCTCCCAGAGGCCATCCAGGAGGAAAGACACTGAAACAAGGGAAAAGTCTTCCCCTACAAGGGGTCTGCTACTGCTGCAGTCCTGAAACGGGAGAGATGAACGCTAGGAGCCTGACTTGGAACATTTCTCATAGAAACACATATAAAGGGTGGTAAAATTCCACTGTATCATTAGTACAACACTTCAGCTATTTTACGAATTAAGTAGATATTTATAGCTACATAGCATTGTTTCTATGGGAAAATTTGTTCCAAGCTATAACCAACAATCTACAAATTTCTAAATTCTGTTGCACTCATGAAATGTACCTTGCCCACATCCAGTACATGATCTTAAGAATTTTTACACCTACCTTAAAAATGACTAAAAAATACAGTGTGGTCTGAAAGTTTAACATTGAATGCCCCACAATAAAGCTGACAATACATAAGAAAATAAAAGGTTTTAGTTTTTGGTAGGTTTTGTTGTTAATCCTCACCTGAGGATATTTTTCCATTGATTTTTTTAGAGAGACTCAAAGGGAGGGATGGAGAGAGAGAAACATCGATGTGAGAGAGACACATCTATTAGTTGCCTCTTGCATGTGCCAGGACCAGGGCTGGGGAACAAACCTGCAGTGGAGATATGTGCCCTTAACTGGGAATTGAACCCAAGACCCTTCGTTGTGCGGGCCAATACTCTACTACTGAGCCACACTGACCAGGGCAAAAGATTTTTGTTTTTTAACTACTAATTCATTTTATATTTCTTCTCAGTTTCCTATGTAAAACTCTCCCACACTAAATGAAATATAATGTACACAACCTAGATAGACAAATAACCATACTTCCAAAGCACAGCATGATAATATACCTTCACATATTCTCTCTGTAACATGAATTTAATAATATCTGTTATGGATTCTTTAATATCAGCAGGAAGATTCTGGAAAAGAAAAAAAGCATAATTAAATTTGGAAGCGACTCTGTAGTTACAGACTGCATTTATTCTAATTTTATATATTCTATTTTTAAAAATCAGTTAATAAAAGCATTTTTTTGAGAAAGCTTACCCTTTTCCGTAGCTTTCTGAAAAGGGGTCTGAGATAGGACTCGGTCTGTTTCTGAGTAGCACTGTTCAGTTTACCCTGCACACTGCGCTTCACATAATCTTCTCTGGCATTCAATTCTTTAGCCCAAACACCAAGAAGAAACTATTGAAAGAATGGGTAAAATTAGATTACAATGCCATCCAGTTGTTGAACAAGTTTAAAGTTCCCCAACACACAAAACAGTTAACTGTCATCCTTAAAACTAATTTCTCAACTGATTACAATACCATCCACTAATATTTAATGAATGAAATATACCTGCTTATTCTGTCATATGTTTTGAAGAAGCGCTTCTGGCAATTCACAAACTTTCTTATTCTCTATATATTCCTAGCTCAAAGATAATCCATTTTCCCCTAAAAATATTACCTGAGTAACTATCTGATAAAAATAAGCTTTTACTTGCATTTTTATTATATAAAATTTACCTAGATCATCAGCCATATTAACATATGTGCTGTGATATTTAATGAATCACCCAAGTATGTTGTTGTAGTATTTGGACTTTCTACTTTTACAGTAGAAACAATAATTCAATTTAAAATTCCCACTAACGTGCCTAACTTAAAGAGCAGGAAAGAAAAAAAAGGAACAGAAATAAAAGAAACTATGATCCATACCCTCCCCTGTCCCACCCTGGAAAACTACCACAATGTCCCTTGGGTTTACCTATATACAGAGCACCCTTCTAGAGGCAGTTAAACAGTGAAGGCTGAGGAGAACATACTCCCCTAGTGCCAATCCCTGTGTAATCCTATATAAGGACAGGCGGTCACTCTCAGAGAAAATTCTAGTTCATATTACCCAGTTCCCATGCCCTATCTAGTTCCCTATCATTTCCTCAATCGATGCAGAATCTTGATGACTAATGTTGTATTTAAATTGTAAATGCAAGTAAAAGCATATCTTGCATTTAAATCTCATGGCCTGAACACAAATAATTTATGACTAAATGCTGAAATGAACCTGGGATTTGCACACACTCTACCTAAAATACTAAAGACAGAAATGCTGAGAAGATGGAATGAGCATATCATAGGAAGAATAAACAGCTATCTGTAGAAATGAGAAAATGAAATCCCTAAAAGGTTACTGATGTGTTTGCCAATGTCTTCTTACCTCCTTCCTTTTGTTACTGTCATCACCTCTCATAAAAGGTTCTAGAACTCTACCCTCACTATGCTCCTTCCTAGAAGGCTTTAAAAAATGTGGACCTCCCCAAACATCTTGTTCATTCCACTGCTATAATTCTTTTCTTTGTGTTTACGTTAGTCAGTTTTTTGTTGTTGTTGTTGTTTTTTAATATATTTTATTGATGTTTTACAGAGAGGATGGGAGAGAGAGAGAGAGAGTTAGAGACATCGATGAGAGAGAAACATCGATCAGCTGCCTCCTGCACATCTCCTATTGGGGACGTGCCCGCAACCCAGGTACATGCCCTTGATCGGAATCGAACCTGGGACCCTTCAGTCCGCAGGCCGACGCTCTATCCACTGAGCCAAACCGGTTTCGGCATACGTTAGTCAGTTTTTTTTAAAGTGCCAAGAGGAACAGAAATATACTACTGTCTTTGGTTAACCTCTATATCCAAGCACATTGCAATATCATAAACCATGTACATGCCAGAAATGTTTGAGATTTTCTTTCCCAGTCTTTAACTCTTAACAACACAAAAACATAAAAATAGTTCTTAACTAACCAAAATGTCCTCCTTTCTTAGCCTAAAAGTACATACCTTAAGGAATTTGGTAATGATGTCCATGTCTTTATGATCATCACCTTTTCCTAAAGATTCTCCCAATGCCTAAAGAAAAATAATGCTCCTGCTCATTAGTAAAGAGCAACAAATGAATATATGTTATCAACACCAGTCTAAACATGGCTCTTTATTACACAGACTGTCCAATTTCTATTTAAAAACCTAATGGAATTTCTAAATAAAATTTTTTTAAAACAGTAATTTGCCGTTTAAATTTTGAAAGCATGCTCTCTTTTATGAATCAAAAGACAGAAGAAGGGGTAAGGGGAGTGATTGCTAATGCATATGAGAATTCTTTTCAGGGCAACAAAATTGTTCTAAAATTAGATTGTGATAATTGTACCATTCCATGAATAGATAGGTGCTATGGTGGTGGTTGGGAGAGTGCAATTAAAAGGACATCCTCCTGTGACATCAACATGTGCAAGAGCAAGGAATGAAAGGGAAAAAACTAACACTTCACACTATATTAAGAGCTTTAAACTAAGCCATATTGTTTGCTTGAGGTACATATTTAAGTAATATAACACTGCTCTTTAATTGAGATTACATATAACACTCCACATTCAACACACTGACAAAAATTAGAAAACAAAAGATTGCCCAGTGTTGACAGGGATTAGGGATGTACGAGACACCCTACTGGTAGGGTACAGACTAATACAGCCATCTGGAGAGCAACTTAGCAGTCTTAGACAAGTTAATTATACATAAACCCAACGATCCCACTTCTGAGTCCATAGGGGTGATGCACAAGATTATTCTTCACAAAGCTGTTTGTGGTTACAGAGAGGAGGGAGCAATCTAGTTGTTCATATTATGGAGGAACACAAGGAAAAGGCAGTGAATGCCACAAGATATAAAGTATTAGCAGTTAAAAGCAAATGTTTAGACATACATAAGGCATCAAGGATGGATTTTAAAAACAGTTCAAAGTATGAAAAGGAAAAAGCAGAAAGAATTTCACAGTACAATACCATTTATGGAAATAAAAAACACATGCTCACAAAACACTACTAATTATAGAAGACCAACAACAAATAAAATAATGCACATCAAACATACTCGAATGACTACTTTTAAAGGCAGAGAGTAGGGGAATGTGAGTGGAGAATGAGAAAAAAAGAGACTGAATGAATGAAAGCATGAAATGAAAGGAGGGCCTTTGTAAGACCAAAACCGATAGTATGCTCTGAACAGAGTAATCTGATGAACTCAACCATTTGTTGCAGGGAATGAAAGGTGTAACGGGAGATGAGGTAAGGTGGATGTAGAGATTACCTCTAACTCTTCAATTGTGGTGTTTTCTTCATGAACTTTCAAGTCATTCTGTGTGTCTTCCTCTCCAGGCTCTTGACCACCCACAAGTTCATTGAGGTATTGCTGATCAATCTTATCCAAAGCTGCTTTCAGATCATTCCTCAATCCCTGAGAAAGGTGAAAAATTATACCTAGTTTGAAATTTCACTGATCTTTCACTTGATTTTTCACTAATCTTACCTAATAATAGACAAACATGTAAATTGACCATACCTTCGCTACGCTAAACAGCCAATCAGGAGAGTATGCAAATTAACCCAACAAAGATGGCGGGTAATTTGCATACATAGGCTCCAAGCGGCGGAGCGAAGATTGAAGGCGAGCCGGAGCAGCGAAGATGGAAGATAGAAGGCGGCTCCGGCCGGAGCAGCGAAGATGGAAGGCGGCTCCAGCCGGAGCAGTGAAGACGGAAGGCGGCTCCGGCTGGAGTGAAGGCCTGGGTCCCAGGTGCCGGAGGAAAACCGGTGCCGGCAGCCAGGAGAAGGGAAGGCCTATTGCACGAATCTCTTCATGCAACAGGCCTCTAGTAATAAGTATAATTCATCTCAGATTACCAGTCAAGAGGGCAGAGTAGATAAACACTGTACTTGCCTCCTCCCGTGACCATATCAAAATTACAACTTAAATGGTACAACAACCATCATTGAGAACCACCTGAAGGCTACTATGAACTCCAAAAACCTTCAGAAATGTCAACAGTATAAAACTAGTGTCTCCTCTATATCCTAGGCTAGCAACTACATTTCTAACACCAGCAAATTCCACATTCTGTTAACTCCCAGTTTGTGACTATTAATAAAAATGAAAGCCTTAAACCCTGGCTGTTGTCACTCAGTGGTTAGAGTGTTGGCCCTAGCACCGAAGGTTCGTGGGTGCAATTCCTGGTCAAAGGCACATATCTGGGTTGCAGGTACAATCCCCAACCCTAGTCGGGGTACGTGCAGGAGGCAACCAACTAATGTGTCTCTCACATCGATGTTTCTCTCCCCCTCCCTCCTTCCCTTCCACTCTATAAAAATCAATGGGAAAAATATCCAGGGGTGAGGATTAACAAAATAAAAAATGAAAGAAAGGAAGGAAGGGGAGGGGAGGGGAGGGGAGGGGAAGGAAGGAAAAGAAAGGGAAGAAAGAAGTAAGAAGAAGAAGGGAAGAAAGTCCCTTCCACTCTATAAAAATCAATGGGAAAAATATCCAGGGGTGAGGATTAACAAAACAAAAAATGAAAGAAAGGAAGGAAGGGGAGGGGAGGGGAGGAGAGGGGAAGGAAGGAAAAGAAAGGGAAGAAAGAAGTAAGAAGGGAAAAAAGAAGGAAGAAAGAAGAAAAGAGAGAGAGAGGAAGGAAGGAAGGAAGGAAGGAAGGAAGGAAGGAAACGCTTTAAGCTGAACCCTTAACTTACACAATATATAAAAATTAACTCAAAAGGGATCAAAAGCCTAAATCCAAGAGCTAAAACTATAAAAACACTTAGAAAAACATAGGGGGAAAGCTTCATGACATTGGATTTGGAAATGATTTCTTATATACAACAGCACAAGCACAGGCAACAACTACAACAAAAATAGAAAAGTTAAAAAGTTTTATGCATCAAAGACACTATCAATAGAATGAAAAGATAACCCAAGGAAAGGGAGAAAATATTTGCAAATCATATATCTGATAAGAATTGATATCCAGAACACATAGAAACTCCTACAACTTAAAAACAGAAAACAACCAACAGGATTAAAAATGGGCAAAGGACTTGAACAAGACATGCAAATGGGCCAGAGCAAATGAAAAGATGCTCAACATCACCAGTAAGTAGAGACCACAATGAAATATCACTTCACACCCATTAAGATGGTATGATAAACAAACAAACCAGAAAATAACAAGTGGTGGCTAGGTGTGGGAACCATGCCAGGTCCCCAGATAGTCAAGGCCGATGAGAGCACAGAGGCCTTGTTATCAATACACCAGAATAGCCAAATGCCACTCTGAGCATGAGCCTAAATGGGATGTTCAAGGACTCTGAGCCTGGGAATCCTAATCAGACCAAGATACCATGAGTGGCTGCAAGGCCATAGCACTCTGACAGTACACTGTGCCCTTCAGTAGCCACTATGATTGATGTAACTATTGGCACAAAGCCTTCTTTGTCTAAATAGTATAAAAGTAAGTTACTGACCAGCTAGTAAGCTGGAGTATGGAGAGAGAACAGCTAGGATGGAGTGTGTGAAGAAGTCTGCTAGAGAAAGCAGCTGGGCAGGAGACAGGAGAAGCTGCTGAGCCAGAGAGCTCAGGTACCACTATGATGTGAGGCAGTAAGTCTAGGAGGCAGCATGCGGCTGCTCAGATAATAGCTGTGGGTACAGAGACTGATGCTGCTTTTTGGGAGATCTACCAGCTGGTGTCTGGCTGCCTGCCTGTATGAACTTTCCTGTGAGGACTGTTCTTGTCTGATGGCTGTGTGGCCACTGGCTTCTGCAACCAAGACTCATTCTTATACACTCACAACCTCTCATGGCTTCTCCATCTAAGACCTGGCATTCAAGGAGGTCCATCCCTAGGCAGGGGGGCTCAGACCCAACACCTATATCTAGTGAGCAGAGGATAAAGGGGGAACTTGGACTAAGTTCCCAACAGTTAGTACAGTGGGCAGGGTTTGAGGAAGAACCAGCCCTGGTATAGTCAAATGGGAGAATTTAGAAGAATATATGGACTCAAAGCCACTCAGAGCACCAGAGCTCGTGCCAGGCTCTGACACTGCTCTGACACTAGCATATAAATAAATGGGAAACTTTGCACTGCTGGAAATGTGAAATGGTGGAGCTGCTGTGGGAAACTGTTGGCAATACCTCAGAAAGTTCAACATACCCACACCAAGACACATTATAATTAAAATGTCAAAAAATAAACACAAGTAGAGATCTTAAAAGGAGCAAGAGGGGGAAAAAATTGTTATATACAATGAAACATGCATAAGACAATCAGCAGATTTTTCAGCAGGAACTTTGCAGGCCAGAAGGCAGTGGCACAATATGTTCGAAGTACTGAAAGAAACAAAGTTCCAACCAAGAATACTCTGCCTGGCAAAATTATAATTCAGAATTGAAGAAAAGATAAAGAGTTTTCCAATAAAGCAAAAATTAAAGTTCATCTCCACTGAACTGGCCTTACAAGAAATTGTTAAAGGGATTTTTTAAACTGAAAAGAAAGCTAATTAATAAGAAAACAATATGAATGTATAAATCTCATTGGTAAAGGTACATACAGAGTAGGTAGTAAATTAATCATGTACAAAGCTAGTATGAAGGTTAAGACAAAAGCAATAAAAATAATTATAATTACAGTAATTAGATTAGGGATACACAAGATAAAAAGATGTAAAATGTGACATCAAAAACATAAAACATGGGCTGGGTGAAGTAAAAATGTAGAACTTTAGAACTTGTTCAAACTTAAGTTCTTACCAACGTAAAACAGACTGTTCCAGCCCTAGCCGGTTTGGCTCAGTGGATAGTGTCAGCCCGTGGACTGAAGAGTCCCGGTTCCTTTTCCTTTCAAGGGCACATACCTTGGTTGCAGGCTTGATCTCTGGCCCTGGTCAGGCATGTGTGAGAGGCAACCAATCAATTAGTCTTTCTCACATCGATGTTTCTCTCCTTCTGTCTCTCTCCCTCTATACAATGGAATATGTTTCAGCCATTTTTTAGAAAAAAAAAAAAAGAAGAAATTCTGCCCTGGCCAATTGTTCAGTGGTTAGAGCACTGGCCCACAGACTGAAGGGTTGTGGGTTTGATTCCTGGTCAAGGGCATGTACCTGGATTGTGGGTCTGCTCCCCAGCCCTAGTCGGGGCATGTGCAGGAGGCAATCAATCAATGTGTCTCTCCTGAACATCCATGTTTTTTTTCTCTCGGTCTCCACCTTCCTCCCTTCTATTCTCTTTCAATGGGAAAAAATATCCTCGGGTGAGGATTTTTAAAAAAGGAAATTCTGACACATGCTACAAGATGGATGAACCTTAAAGGTTTTATGTTAAGTTAGAAGACTGATCCAGTGGAGCCTTCAGATGATCTTAACCACTCACCTAACTGCAATCACATGCAAGATCCTGAGCCAAACACTGCAAGCTTACCCAATCAAACCACAGAACTGTGAGAGAGAATAAATTATCTTAAGTTACTAGGTTTCAGAATGATTTGTGATAGTCATAGATGACTGAAAAAGATTTTATAATAATAAATTGTTTTAAGCTACTAAGTTTTTGGTGGTTTGTTACATAGCCATAAATAACTACACCTGTTTCTAAATAATTGTTAGAGCAAGTAGATGATAAAGCCTCAGAATCTCTGAACACTACGAGAATAAATTATCTTAAGTTACTAGGTTTCAGAATGATTTGTGATAGTCATAGATGACTGAAAAAGATTTTATAATAATAAATTGTTTTAAGCTACTAAGTTTTTGGTGGTTTGTTACATAGCCATAAATAACTACACCTGTTTCTAAATAATTGCTAGAGCAAGTAGATGATAAAGCCTCAGAATCTCTGAACAACACTATTGTAAATGACATTTATCCCAAAGCATAAAAAATAAAACAGACTCTTTTCAAAAGCCCATGGAATATTAACCAAAAGAGACCATATGCTGAGCCATAAAACAATATCAGAACTCTAAATGTAAAAGCTAAAACTGTTAAGCTAAAAAAAAAAAAATACAGAAGACTATTTCTTCAAGACCTTGGGACAGGCAAAGGTTTCTTAAGTAAAATACCAAAAGCAATAACCATAAAACCAAAAGCTAATAAAGTGGACTTCACCAAAATTTAAAACTCTCCCCCACAAAAGAAACGAATAAGAGAACAGGTAAACCATAGAGTAGGAGAAAATAGTCACAAAATATGTATCTGTATCTCACAAAGGACTTCTATCCAGAATAAATGAAGAACTTCTACAATTCAAAAATAAAAAGACAACCTAACTAAAACATGAACGAAACATTTTAATACACACTGCACAGAGAAAAATATAGCCTACAGAAGTCCACAAGAAGATGCTCATAATCTTTAGTTATCAGGGAAATGTGAACACAACCACAATGAGATACTATTACACATATAAGAAAACTGTTAAAATTTAAAAGACTAACAATAAAAATGCTGATGGCATTTGGAAATATTTGGCATTTCTTAAAATGTTAAGCATACATTTACTCTTACTATTCAGCAACTCCACTTCTCCATATTTATCCAAGAGAAATAACATAGGTTCAAACAAGATTTGTATAAGAATGTTCAGAGCAGTTTCATTCATTACAGGCCAATGTTGAAAACATATTACGGTATATTCATAAGACTGAATACCATCAGCAATGAAAAGGAACAAACTACTGATAACCGCAATAACATGGATGAATCTAAAAAATGTAATGCTGATCAAAAGAAGCCAGGCACTATGACTTCATCTATAAGAAATAGTAGAACAAGCAAAATTAATCTATGGTGATAGAATTTTATAAAGTGGTTGCCCATGAGTAGAAAAGAAAGATAGGGGATTGGCCAAGAAGGGGTGCTGGAGAACTTCTTTGGGTGATGAAAATGTTCACAAGGTTGGTGGTTACAAACTTGGATGTATTTGTCAAAATGCACTAAACAAACATAAGATAGGTACTTAAAAAAATTTTTTTTAAACTTATATTCACCAGCAGTCACCTGGCAACTTTTTCATTTTTCCTCTAATAATGCAATGGGTCAGACATCAAACTCCACACTATTCTAGTTTATGTGGTACAATGATATTCTTCTAGCTTTGGTCTGATTTCTTACCTTGTTAACTTCTGGTGTCAGGATCTCTATTTTTCTTAAACGCTGAAAAGCATCATAATCAGTTTCTCCAAATAGTCTGATTGGTTCTCCTCTTTCTCTCAATCTTCTGATAACCTATTGTTTTTTTAAATCAAAAGATAGTAGTAATTCCTTATGTTGTTAGTAATAGCAATTCCTATTTTAGGTGACCAAACACTTATTTTGAAATGCCAGTTGGAAAAGTTAGGTTTATTTTTCCTTTTATTTTCCATGAACAAATATACTGAGTCATTGTCACACCTTAAACAGTCCTAATGGGTTAGGTTTTTTGGCTGGTTCAGTAAAGTCACAATTTGTATAATCGAATACATAAGAAAAACATTAAGATGGTAGCAAGTGATAATATTCATATTGAGAAGGAAAATAAAGTTTGGAGTCAGCTGATAACGCAGCTGATGACTACAGCCAAGGTCAGAATTGCAATACTACTTTTAAACCAAACACTGTCTCTTAGGAGAGAAAGTGAGTATGATCAGAATGGGGCACATGCGGGGCTTTTGAAGGGCTGATAATACTACTCTATTTCGCCCTAACCAGTTTGGCTCAGTGGATAGAGCATCAGCCTGCAGACTCAAGGGTTCCAGGTTCGATTCCGGTCAAGGGCATGTACCTTGGTTGCGGGCACATCCCCAGTGGGGGGGGTGTGGGAGGCAGCTGATCGATTTTTCTCTCTCATCAATGTTTCTAACTTTCTATCCCTCTCCCTTCCTCTCTGTAAAAAATCAATAAAATATATTTTTTTTAAAAATACTACTTTATTTCTTGACTTAGATGATAGTTATACAGGTGTTTGTTTAATAATTATCCATTATATTAAACATATGTGTTTTATACACTATATACATGCTATAGTTCACAAAAAGGAGAAACAAAAATTATAATAAGTTTATCCAAATAAAAAAAAATACCAAGAACTTTACCTGGGAACACACTTAGAAACCACTGGTAGGGCTCCCAATGGATTAACTGAAGCTTGATATTAAAAAGAAACTTAAGAGGTCATCTATTGCTTTCTCTAATCAATGCTGAATTAACTCCCAAAAACAACTGTCAGGTCACTGTCTGACAAATGACAGGAATCACATTTCTTCATGAAACAGCCCACCCCATTTCTGGATACGTTTGCTTCTCAAAATAAACTAAAATCTACCTCCCTTAAACTTCTATCCATTTATCTTAGCTCTATTTTATGGAACCACAGAGAATATTCAATTCCTTTTCAAAATTAGAGCTGTGGTCAATAAATTCTTTTAAAAGTATTTAGGCTAATTATTCAAAATACCTTCCTCTAATTTTCACATGAGAGCTTCCAGAGTTAGCCATCCTTTTCTATGAAAGTTTCCTTTTGTTCAAAGTTCACTTTTGTACCTTCTGAATAGTTTGAATTCTTTATATCACATAAATATCCTTAAAAAATATTTTTAAAGAAAATGATCATTGATCTTAACCAGGGTATGGGCAAACACTACAAGTGAGAGTATAAACTGGTATAACTAGGACAGAGCCCTCTGGTAATATGTATCAAAAGTCTTAGAAATGTACATAGACTTTAATCTTTAGTACATACACTCCAAATATCACACTTCTAGAAGATTTTCCAAAGGAAATAATCATACATTATTATGCATGCAATCATATTTATAGAAGGATATTCCTCTAAGTATGATTCATAAGAGGGAAATGCTGAAGTAATCTAAATGACCATTAATAAAGAACTGGCTTTAAAAATATGGGAAAGTATATGGTCATAAAAAATTATACATATATATTTTTTGACCTAGAAAGATGTATTAAAAGAAAGTAAGTTATAAAATAGTACATTATTTACAATAATTTAAGTATAATTATTTAGAATATATACATTTCAAACAGTATTTAGCCCTAACCAGTTTGGCTAAGTGGGTAGAGCACTGGATTGCGGACTGAAGGGTTCCAGGTCCGATTCCAGCCAAGGGCACATGCCCGGGTGGTGGACTCGATCCCCCCCAGTCCCAAGTAGGGGGTGTGCAGGAAGTAGCTAATCAATGATTCTCTCTCATCATTGATGTTTCTGTCTCTCTCTCCCTCTCCCTTCCTCTCTGAAATCAGTAAAAATATATTTTAAAAAAACAAACAAAAAATACAGTGTTTGGTTTTTAAAGTTTAGAATGATAGATACTTTAAAAAGTTTAACATAATAGTATCAAGAAAGGCAGAGGACGCCCTGACTGGTTTGGCTCAGTGGATAGAGCGTCGGCCTGCGGACTGAAGGGTCCCAGGTTCAATTCTGGTCAAGGGCATGTAAAAAAAAAATAATAATAAAATAAATTTTAAAAAAAAAAAGGCAGAGGTAATTTATTAGTAGAACCCCATGAAGAAAATTGGCTAGCTGCACAGTAACTGAGTTCAATAAGTCATCTTATATGGGAAATAATGACAAAAAATTATTGGGTAGAAATAAAGATTAATGTAAATGTTCAATAAGTCATCTTATATGGGAAATAATGACAAAAATTATTGGGTAGAACTAAAGATTAATGTAAATGTTCTGCAGAGTTTTTTTTTGTTATTTTTTTTTCATGAAACTATATATAAACTTACCTCTTGCCTAGAAAGGGTCATTGGTAATTTTTCCTCTGCCAGTTCAAGTTCTAATACTGGATTCGATGAAGTTAATGGTTTCTGGTCATCCTCTTTTGGCTGTATCTATATTAACAGCAAAAAAAAAAAGAAGTTCAGCTTTTAAAATATAGTTAATATTTGTCATTCTATTAGATTAGCTGTTCAAGACAGTTAAACATGTTTTAAATACTGAAGGTCTAAATGTTCCTCCGAGGAAAGAGCTCATAGTAAATATCCAGCTTTTAAGAGTTTACTAGTATCAAACCTGTCCATTTCAGGGACAGCACACATAGAAAGCATGCACATCGGAGACAGCATTCTTGCTACAGAAAAGTGACATTAAGTGTAATGGTTTCCAAAATCAAAGCCGTAAAAGAGCTGAAACTTAGACTCACTTTCTCCTTCAACTCTAAAGAATTTTACTTTGTTTTTTGGAAAAAAAAAAATCAACCTGCTTCTCCTCTTTGAGAAAATCATCCTACAGGGTTGCCTGATTCTTACCCTGGGTTTAAAATGAAAGTCAAAAACAGGAACTGCTTTCTAACAGAAGCCCGTGAAGCTTCAAGAGCCAGCTTTTTCCTACCCTACTTTTTGAAAGGTATTATTCCAAGTGCACAGAAATCACTGTTGGACATGTAGAAAAATTTCCAATGCTACATAGAACTTTTCCACAAAAGTGAGCTACAAACCTTGTGAGAAAATAATGAAAAACAGCACCTCTCTACTCATACCACACAAAGAAAAGAGTGAACATTCTTGTTGATATGAACCTGCAGGGAAAAAAATCTCTTCATATGTTTTCTTGAGTCTGCCGCCCAAGTCACAGTTTGGGAAAATTGAGTTCAGCAATTTATAAGCCCCATTGTGTGGTCTGTAAAAAGATATTGAAACATGGTTTCCCAACTGACCATAAGACCAATCTAAAATGCCAAAAGAAGAAAAAAACAACAACACAAAAGAAGATCAACTTTAAGGAAAAATTCATTCAACTAAGAAAGGCTAAATGGTTAAAACTATATAACTTATGATTCTATAGTTTATGATTAACAGTTAAGTTTATCAGTATTAAGTGTAACAGAAAATTGAGATAAAAACTAAACTTTCATATTTTCACAAACCAAATCAGCATCAAGCCTTAAAAAAATGGGAACTAGTTTCTATAAAGGAATAAAATAATACATGCAATATTTTCATTATTACCAAGAAGGAAATACTAAAAATGTTTAAGAAAGAACAACCTCTGCTTTCTTTTTAAGCATAAAAACAGGTCATTTCTCAAAAAATCTTAGGATGAAAAGTAGTTTTAATTAAGGAATGGCAGCTGGACTCGACATTACAAGCAGTACCTTTACAGTAATTATTTTGCTTCAGTGCTTTCCTCTATGTAAGCAAGGAAGTACTGCACTATCACTGAAGCAACCTAAGCAAAGCAAAACTGCCACCATAGTCTTACATTCTTTTCCTACCTTATCAAAAAGTTGAAAGGTTGAAATTTAGGGATCTTGGAAAACAACAAGTCAGCAGACTATACCCAGGGTAAGTAATTCTTATTTCAAATCAAGTTGGAGTTAGACAATGTTGGGGCAAGCAAAAGATGAGAATTCTTTCTGAATATGTATCCAATGGTTACTAACACAAAACATTATTTTAATTTCCTAAATTAGAAGCAAACGAAATCAATATATTCATGGAAAATATCAAAATACCAATATAAATTTTCATTAATTTAGAAGCCTATCAGAAATATAACATTTTTAAAACTTGCCCTCTCCCAACACTACAAAATAAAACCAAATGCATATACATACCATTTGCATTATTCATGCATCCCTCTAGAAATGCTATGCCAGATAAATTAATTTCCAGAACTTTTAACATGACATGCACAAGAGTATTATTTTATATTGATGTTTCACAAGCAAAAAGTTATTTCAAACTCATGATTTAGCAAAAGAGAGCCTTCTGAAATTTGGTTTAAAAATTATTAAACTAGATATAGTCTTTTTAAAATAATTTAAACATAACCTTTAACCCCTCCCAATAAAAAACCCCAATGTTATTCAACTAGATAATCTCAAAGATAATTTCAGTCATGGTTCTAAAATGTACAGTCTTCCAGACAACTCATTTGTTTCAAACAAATATTTCAATATTACATTTTCTATCCAATAGACTGAGCAGTGTTTGAAATGTGGTTCCTTATACACAAAAGCATATAAATGTTATACGGCAATATATTTCAGACAGAGGTGCTTAGGCCAAAAGGAATTATTAACAATGTAAACATAAAAACTGGTTTAAAATATTCAGGAGAAAGCAGGGGAAATACCACTGCTAATACCATTGTTATTGAATGAATAAAATGTTTTTAGCCCTTTAAAAATAGACTTTTATTGGGAGAGGTGGAGTGAGGGAGTGGTGGGGAGATGAAAATGAGGCAGCATCAGATCCAGGACTTAATTTAAAAAAAAAAGGAAAGAAAATCAAGCTTTGATCTCAAGCCACTTCATGCTGTCCACAGAAGGCCAAACCATTCCAAGCCAAAAGTCATGCATGTATTTTCCTAAATTCAAGATAAAAAATAAAGAAAAACAAAAACAAAAATTCATACCTCTCCAGATGGCTTCTCATTTATAGGCTAATGTATAACATTGATAAATTGAACAGAGATCAATAATTTTGTCACTTTAACAACAACTGTATAAATTTAAACTCAGAAATAAGACAATGTAACATAAAAGCAGGGATTCATACCTTGTAGCCACATCTTTCATAATATGCTTCCTCTTCTTTTTTTGCAAGTTCACTACGCTTGAAATATTTTTTATTTTCCTATTGAAGAAGAAGTGAGTTAATAATATATCCTTGCATAAAATTTAATGTCCCCTAATCAACAACCTGAAAACACTCTTCAGTTTTTCAAGAAATGGTAAAAGTTTTTGGTTGCATAGAAATTACATTGATTTCCTGAACACAACACCTGTACTCAACCTCTAAATTTGAAGTACATATTTTTCTTGCAGTATCATTTTAACAGGCATATCCAATAGCAAAGAGAAGAAAACAATACTTCCCAAATGTTCACACTTTTGATTTAATTTCCCAATATTTGAGTTCAGTGATCTCTACAAATGTATTTATTATGAACCACATAAAATAGAATGCTTTAGTTTTTTTTCCATCAGAAGTAATCAAACAGAAATTATGGTATCTATAGCTAACATCTTACATCTCATTACCAAGAGAGTTCCAAGAGTGTGTCCAAATTCTTTTCATCTAAAAACCCTACTATATCAATTAATTGTATTTCATTAATTCTTAAAATTGAATTAATCAATTCTTAAAATAATCTAGGCATAGAATGGTTTTAGAGAGTCTTTTTATTTAAAGACAGTTTAAAGGCATTTGTTTTCATATGACTTGATGTCAAAAGAGACAAGCTCTAAATCTATTATAATGGTGAAAAAAAACATTAGTTCTTCCTACACTAGTACTATATATAAAACTATCCTTGCTGTTAAATCTACAGCCACTAATTTGGAGGCTTGTTACTATCTACAGCTCTTATTCCATTGATGACTTGACTCAAAGACACTGCCTTGCCTTGGTCAGTGTGGCTCAGTTGGTTGAGTGTTGTCCAATGCACCACAAGATGGCGGGTTCGACTCCCGGTCAGGGCCAGGGTGCAGGTTTGAACCCCAGTTAGGAGGCAGCCAATCGACGTTTCTCTCTCACATTGATGTTTCTCTCTCCCTTCCTCCCTCTCTAAAATCAATAAAAAACATTTTTTAAAGCTACTGTACTACTTTATTAATAGTAATTATAATAGTACCTCAATACTACCTCAGGTATTTAGCACCTCATAATCCAAAGCTAATTCACTCAGGCAATGACCATAATGGATGCTAAGACCATTCATTACAAGAAAGGCTGATGGTGAACAATGGAAAGACCAGTCTGCCAATACTTGAACCCACTGATCAAATTTGACATCAAGAAAACATTATGCACCTCCCTATGTGATACACATAAAAGTATACAGCACCATTGGTACAGCATTTTTTAAAAAATTTTTATTGTTTAAAGTATTACATGACTCCTTTTTCCCCCATTGACCTCTCCCCGCCCATTCCCGCCCCCCAGCACAGGCCCTCATCCCCCTACTGTCTGTGTCCACTGGTTATGCTTATATGCATGCTTACAAGACCTTTGGTTGATCTCTTACCCCCTCTTCTGCCCTCCCTTTAAGGTTTGACGGTCTGTTCGATGCTTCAATGTCTCTGGATCTCTTTCTATTCATCAGTTTATGTTGTTCAGCATATTCCACAAATGAGTGAGATCATGTGACGCTTATCTTCCTCAGACTGGCTTATTTCATTTAGCATAATGTTCTCCAGGTCCATCCATGCTGTTGCAAATTGTAAGAGTTCCTTCTTTTTACAGCAGTGTAGTATTCATTGTGTAGCTGTACCACAGGTTTTTAATCCACTTATCTGCTGATGGGTACTTAGGCTGTTTCCAAATTTTAGCTATTGTAAATTGTGCTGCTATGAACAAAGGGGTGCATATATCCTTTCTGACTGGTGTTTCTGATTTCTTGGGCTATATTCCTAGAAGTGGGATTGCTAAGTCAAATAGGAGTTTCATTTTTAGTTTTTTGAGGAAACTCCATACTGTTTTCCACAGTTGCTGCAAGAGTCTGCATTCCCACCAGAGTGTATGAAGGTTTCCTTTTTCTCCACATCCTCCCCAGCACTTGTCGTTTGTTGATTTGTTGAGGATATCCATTCTGACAGGTGTGAGATGGCATCTCATTGTCATTTTGATTTGTATCTCTTGATTAGTGACTTTGAGCATGTTTTCATGTCTCTTGGCCTTCTGTATGTCCACTTTCGAAAAATGTCTAGTATTTAGGTCCTTTGCCCATTTTTTTATTGGATTATCTTCCTTTTGTTAAGCTGTATGAGTTCCCTATAAATTTTGGAGATTAACCCCTTATCAGATGTAACATTGGCAAATATGTTCTCCCATACATTGGGCTCCGTTTCATTTTGTTGATGGTTTCTTTTGCTGTGCAGAAGCTTTGTATTTTGATGTAGTCCCATTTGTTTATTTTCTCCATTGTCGGAGATATATCGCTATGAGATATGTCTGATATTTTGCTGTCTATGGATTCTTCTAAGATTTTTATGGTTTCCCATATTATGTTTAAGTCTTTTATCCATTTTGAGTTTATTTTTGTGTGTGGTGTAAGTTGGTGGTCTAGTTTCATTTTTTTGCATGTATCTGTCCAATTTTCCCAAGACCATTTACTAAAGAGACTGTCTTGACTCCACTGTATGCTCTTGCCTCCTATGTCAAATATTAATTAAGCATAATGGCTTGGGTTGATTTCTGGGTTCTCTGTTCTGTTCCATTGGTCTATATGTCTGTTCAGTACCAGGCAGTTTTGAGAACAGTGGCCTTGTAATATAGCTTGATATCTGGTAAGATACAGCATTCTTGCCAAAAAGGTAAATATGAATCTAATAAAATATTTAGGTCTAACTTCCAGTTTACCAGAAATGTAGGGAATAAAAGACAAAACTAAATAACACCTAAGGAAACAATGAAACACTGAAAAGTTTTTACAAACTAGCCCCACTTTCTCCAACAAGTTAATGGCATCAAGAAGGGGTGGAACTGGGGGGAATAAAAATGTTCTCAATGAAAAGAAACCAAGAGTCATAATAAACAAATGCAATGACTGCAGTTTGTGTGGATCTGATTCAAACCAACCAACCATAAAAAGATATATATACCTATATTTTAATTCAATAGGAGATACTTGAACGTGAAAGGAGTACCTGATGATATTAAGGACCTAATTTTAATTTTGTTTAGGTGTCACTTTGTTTATGTAAAAACATTTTTTTAAGTGACTTTAGAGAGAGGAAGGGAGAGGGAGGGAGAGAAGCACTGAGGGGCATCAATCAGTTGCCTTCTGCATGTGCCCCAACCAGGGATCGAACCCGCAACCCAGGCATGTGCCCTGACTGAGAATCAAATCCACCAACCTTTGGTGCATGGGACAACGATCCAAACGAGCCACACCAGCCAGGGCTATATAAAAACATATTCTTATTTTCTAGAGTTACCAATCTTTAGGTGAAGGGGTAGACAGGGGCTCATTATATGATTATGTTTTTGTGTATGTTTAAAACTTTTGTAATAAAGTTTCTTAAAGTCCATAAACTCAATAAACATCTACACATACCAAGCACAGCTTTATAGATTTAATGATGAAGAAGATATTACCTGGGGGTAAGGAATGAATGGTATCATCTAAATATCAAAACTACCCTGAAAAAGGTAGAGCTAATATTAATCCCACAGTAGAGGTAAGAAACCTGAGCACTGATTAGAAAGATTAGATGCCCTATACTGTTTGGCTCAGTGGATAAAGTGTTGGCCTGCAGACCGAAGGGCCCAGAGTTAAGAAGATATTACCTGCACATACCTCAGTTGCAGGCTCCTCCCGGGCCCAGGCCCTGGTCGAGGCTTGTGCAGGAGGCAACCAATTGATGTGTTTCTCTCACATCAATATTTCTCTTTGTCTTTCCCTCTCTCTTCCACTCTCTCTCTAAAAAAAAAAAAATCAATGGAAAAATATTCTTGGGTGAGAATTAAAAAAAAAGAAAGGTCAGGTGACATTCCCAGAATTTGTAAGCCTCATGAGTAACAGAGGCAGGACTAGAACTCTGGTCCTTAAATCCTTTGTACCATACAGGATTCCATGCTACAGTTCTTCGCTCCCCAAATGATATTTTTTACAAATATATTTTATTGATTTTTTACAGAGAGGAAGGGAGAGGGATAGAGAGTTAGAAACATCAATGAGAGAGAAACATCAATCAGCTGCCTCCTGCACACCCACTACTGGGGATGTGCCCGCAACCAAGGTACATGCCCTTGACCAGAATCAAATCTGGGACCCTTCAGTCCGCAGGCCGATGGCTCTATCCACTGAGCCAAACCGGTTAGGGCCCCCAAATGATATTTCAGCATCATAAACTGCTCTTTTTGAGTATGTAGCAGGTAATTTACATATTTCAAATAAATAAGTTGACAAACACATATGGTATCCTCTCAAAAAGAGCAGATATAAAGGAAGAAAGTAAAAGGACCCTCCAGGCCAGAGTCCATGGTCTAGTCTATAACTACTAGGGGTCTAGTGCACGAATTCGTGCACCTTGAAAGGAACTGTGGGCCGTGAGGCTGCTGTGGGCACAGGGGCAGGTCTCAGCCCATCCTCCGCGCCCCCACCCGCCTCCTGCCCATCACATCCCACTGCAGCCCCTGGTCCCCTGTCTGCCTGCAGCCCTGCTCCTGCTGCTGCCACTCCCACGTACTGATGGCACAGAGCGATTGGGGCTGGCGTCAGCAGCGGGTGCAAGCAGGGCCAGCACAGTCAGTGGGTGTGAGTGACAGCTGCTGCCCTGATCGCCCCTCAGGAGCAAGGGGAGGTGGAGAAGCCCTCAGGGGCGATCAGGGCCCGCAGCCGCAGCTCGCATCTGCTGACAGTGCCAAGCGATTGGGACCGGCATTGGCAGCGGGTGCGAGCAGCGGCTCTGGCACCAGCTGCGGGTGCAAGCAGGGCCAGCATCGGCAGTGGGTGCAAGCGGGGCTGTCACTGGCAGCGGGTGTGAGCGGGGCCAATGTTGGCAGCATGTGCGAGCACCAGGCGGGACTGTGGCATGCAGGAGCAAAGAATTTTCAGTAACCACCAGAAGCTTGCCCTGATGACAGCGACCAACGCCCCGCCTTGGTCGGGCGCCCCTGCTCACCTGCTCCACCATCCTGCCATGGCCGACACCCGCCATGTTCCGCACGTGCCCCGTGGTGGTCAGCACACATCATAGCAACTGGTTGTTTGGTTGTTCCGCCATTCAGTCTATTTGCATATTAGGGTTTTATATATATGGATGATATCTTTTACTTACATGTCTCAATTTCATTGACACACCTCACAAAATCTTAAGCCTAGAATATCAATTCTCAAAATGTGGTTCACAGGCTTCTTGGGTGTCCCCTAGATCTTTTCAGAGATTCTGTGAGGTCAAATTTATTTTCATAATAATACTAAGATGTTATGTGCCACTTTTTCACTGTGCACACACTTGTACTAATGGTACTAAAGCAATGGTGAGGAAAACTACTGGAATCTGAGCATACATAAAGGCTAAGTACCTTATTTATGTAGCAGTGGTTACTGTATTCCTCACCACCATGCACTGCCAGGAAAATAGAGAGGCCAGTTTCTCTTTTGTCTTGATAAAGTACAATTTTGCTAAATCTCAACCCTTGAGTACATAGCCTTTAAATATTTGATATGATGAAATAAGATATGAAACATACAAAGCACTTCTGCTACATAATGAAGTAGGATCACTGTCTCAAAGAAAAGCACTTGCGCAACTGATTATTCAGACTTGCATAGTAGACATTTTCTCAAAACTAAACAAAGCAAGCCTGTCAGTCACTTTAAGGAAAACATGACAGTACTTATCAGCTATGATAAAATTCCATCTTTCAAGCGAAAATCAGAATGGTGGGAAACATGTATCCATCACTGTGAACTTCATGGTTTCCCAATCCTTAACGGTTTTTCTGATGAACTAAAAATAGTATTAGTGAACGTGATTTATTTTATATCATCTAATGAAATATATCGACATTTATAAGATCTGCTGAACTCAGCAAACCATGTCACAAAGGCAAGATGTTACAAAATCATGCACAAGCAGAATACCTATGAGCAGAATAGATCAGAATAGATGTAGAGCAGAATATATCAGTGGATTTTATATACAAAAAGTCATTGATATGTGTCACAATCCAGTCTTAACTAATCTTTAAGAAACTTACCATTTGTCTATTTTTGGTGTAATATTAAAGGAGAACCACAATTATGTGAAAAGGTTATTAAAATACTCCCTTTTCCAATTACTCATCTGTATGAGGATGAAATTTCATCACATAATTGAACAAAAACAGCATATTGCAGCAGGTTGAATGGAGAAACACGAAAGAGAATCCAACTATCTTCTAATATGCCAGAGATAAAGAGATCTGCAAAATTGTCAAATATACCACTCTTCTCTCTAAATTTCTTTTGTTTTGGAAAATATAGTCAATTTTCATAAAAATGTATTATTTATGTTAACTTATGATGGATTTCTATTGTATTTCTACATGGACTATATCTAAACATTTTTAATTTTCTCAGTCTTAATTTCTAATAGAGTCATTATCAATAAATACACCCTACATAAACAAAAGTTCTCCAGAACTATCAATAAAAAATCTGTGAAGGGCCCTAGCCGGTTTGGCTCAGTGGATAGAGCGTCGGCCTGTGGACTGAAAGGTCCCAGGTTCGATTCCAGTCAAGGGCATGTACCTTGGTTGCGGGCACATCCCCAGTAGGGGGTGTGCAGGAGGCAGCTGATTGATATTTATCTCTCATCGATGTTTCTAACTCTCTATCACTCTCCCTTCCTCTCTGTCAAAAATCAATAAAATATATTTTTTAAAAAATCTGTGAAGAGATCCTGAGACCAGTAAGTGAGAACACTGTCCTTGAAGACTCTTCCTATTGGCATTCTCCCCACCTGCACCTAGTGGGCCTTTATAAATGCAGGGAGCCGACTTGGGCCTCAGTGGGGTTCACTGATCCAGGTGTAATTCACTGTTCAGTTTTCTGTCCTATTGTCTACACTGATCGTAACCCATTCTCTCAAACCTCTTATCCCTTCATTTCTCCCCTCATTTTCAGCAAATGACTAAGCCAATCTACAAAGAAATGAAAAGCCATGAAACAAGAATTTCTCCAAATTCCTCCCAGCACCAAACCTTACCTGGATCTGTACCAATCCCTTCATCATTTCAGAATGGAAGGGGAAACCATCCTCCTAGTTAAGGGCAATCCCTTCCAAATGTATTCCATCAATTCCTCCTGCCTTTCTCAGGGATGTCTCATAGAAGACTGTTGCAAGTAAAGGGGTAAACAAGTGTGAGGAAAGGCAAGTTCAAGGAACTGAAAAAGTTCAAAAGTTCAGTAGAGCCAGGAGGTAATGGCATGGAGATTTTCACCAGCATAGAAATTACTAGGTTTTTTTTTTTTCTTCTATTTTTTGTTTTTAAAAATTACTAGTTCTTGACCTTTTTGAGTCAAAGATCCCTTTAATAATATCATACACAGGAGAAAGGAAAGAGGGGGCATTTATATTATATAACTACATGCTAAATTTTTTTATAAAATTTCAAGAAGCTGATGGATATTCTGAATTCCATCCAAAGGCTGCATTTAAGAAACCCTGAAATAGATGGTAACTGAAATCTAGAGGTGGATATAAAATTAATATAAGAGAATATTCAGTGTGGAGAGAAAGTGGCCTAGGCCTGAACTTTAAAGAAAACCAACATTTACGGGACAAAAAAATCACACACACACAAAAAAAGAAGAAGTCTTTCAAAAAGATCAAGAATAAGCAGCCTGATAGGTCGAAGGAAAAATAGGAAGCTGTGGCAGAAGAAATGCCAAGGGAAGAATGAAGGAGGAGGACCAGCCAAGTGTGTCAAATGCTGTTGTTAGTCAGGAAAATGGAGGTCACTGTTGTCACAGTATCACTGTGGGGGCAGAAACCAGTTTGTATCTGGTGAAGGAATGAGTGAGAATTAAAATTTATTTTAGGAAGCTTGGCTATGCCCTAGCAGGTTTGGCTCAGTGGACAGAACGTCGGCCTGCGGACTGAAGGGTCCCAGCTTTATTTCCGGCCAAGGGCACATGCCCGGGTTGTGGGCTCCATCCCCAGTAGGGGGCATGCAAGAGGCAACCGATCAATGATTCTCTCTCATCACTGATGTTTCTATTTTTCTCTCCCTCTCCCTTCCTCTCTGAAATTAATGAAGAAAGAAGCAGGAGGAGGGGGGGGCGGGGGGAGGGGAGGAGAGGGGAGCAGCAGCAGCAGCAGCTTGGCTATAGCCCAGCTGGTGTGACTCAGTGGTTGAGCGTCAACCCATGAGCCAGGAGGTCATGGTTCGATTCCCAGTCAGGGCGCATGCCTGGGTTGTGGGCTTGGTTCCCAGTGGGGGGCGGGCAGGAGGCATCCAATCAATGATTCTCTCTCACCATTGATGTTTCTATCTCTCTCTTTCCTTCTCTCTTCCTCTCTGAAATCATGTAAAATATATATATTCTTTAAAAGATTGGCTATAAAGAAAAAGGATGCTGCTTAAAAAAAAACACACAACAACAAACCTTTTTAAAAATGGGAGAGACATTTTTATGTTTCATTGCTGATGGAGATAAGCCAGTAGACAGACTAAAGATACAGGAAGAAAGGCGATAAGTAATACTAAGGTTCCTGATGATGCAAAAAAAGATGAGCTGGGATCCAATGTGCAGGTAGTTTTGACCCCAAGCTGTAACTGATATCTCATTTTATTCAACAGAGAAAAAGAGAAGAGATTTCTGGCCTTTTGGCTTCTTTTTTTCTGTAAAATTGAATGCATGCATGGTCTTTAAAGAATCAAGCATTACTGTATTTTTAATCCTCTGAGGCAGAGTGTAGTATCATGCATATGAGAAACATCCAATAAATATAATTCTACACAAATCTTCATAACTAATAACTAATGAAACTTCTAATTATGTCCCAACAGCCTAGTTTTCCACATAAATGAGGTGTTGCATTAAGTGAAGATTCACCAAACCCAGGGCTCCAAAGCATTGGTATTCAAGCAATTACCTCACAGTAGTTACACCAGACAGAATGTTTTAGGACAGGTGACAGGCGGCTTAGGAGGCTTATCTTAGGAGCTTCTGCAGTTTAACAAAGGGGCAGTCACAAGGTGTTTACTATTTCAACTGTCAGACTAACAATAAAAAGCTAGGACATCACTTGAAATGACCAAGAGAACAGGTGTTTCCCAGCTAAAGATAGGGCAATGAAAACCATTCAGTGATCTCCAATCAGCATTTTTTTAGAATGAAACGGAATGGATTAAAATAATAAAACAAATTATAGGATCACATGTGGTTAAGGTAAGAATTACCTCATGAAACTTTTTTCATATATATCAGAACAAAATATAAAAAAAATATTTCTTACTGTGGCTGGAGCAGTGAAAAAGTATGAAAGTTACTGACACTATGATGCAGAAAGATAAAGGCTATAAAGTAACAGTTTCTATACAGTTATAAATTACACAGCTATAAATCAAAAGACTATTCCCATGCATACAAGAAATCTGATGTCTGGTTACACATATTCTCTTATACAGGCACGCCTCGAAGATACTGCTGGTTAGGTTCCAGAACACTGCAATAAAATGAGTGCTGCGATAAAGCGAGTTGTAACTTTTTTGCTGGTGGAGGGTCTTCACCTTACATTGTAAAACAGGGGTCCTCAAACTACGGCCCGCGGGCCACATGCGGCCCGCCGAAAACATTTATCCGGCCCGCCGGGTGTTTTTGCCGCCGCTGGCTGTCCTGCTTAGCAGCGGACTCGTCCTGGGCCCGCAGTGCGCATGTGTGGAATGTCTGAGGGACAGTGAACTGGCCCCGTTTAAAAAGTTTGAGGACCTCTGTTGTAAAAGATGCAACATCTGTGGGGGGCAATAATGTGAAGCACAGTATAATGAGGTATGCTTGTATTATTCAAGAGCACTCACTTACCTGATCGTGCATATACGCACATCATAAACCTGGGGGGAGAGCTCAGCTTTTTGTGATTCAATTTTCCCTCTAAAGTACTTAAATTTCAACATCCCAGCTTTCCTAACACCAGCTATGCATTCCAACATCTAAATTACTTTTTTCAAATACTCTCAAATCACTTACCTGAAGAAAAAGGTCCCTGAAGATATTAAGTTACAAATATGGACAAGCTTTCCCCCCTCTATCTACTAAATTATATTCTATTTAATGAGCTCTATATTGCTAAGTATTTTTAAAGTTTCATTGATTATGAAATCAGCCATCCACCAAACAATTCCAACTTACACTACATGATATATATTAATACTACATTCCATCCAAGGACCTAAGCAGATATTCTCCAAGTGTGGTCCTCAGACCCCTGGGATCCTGAAGATCCTTTGAGAGTCTGTGAAGTCAACTATTTTCAATACTAAGGTACTGTTTCCCTGTACCCTCTGTGGTCATCTGTACTGAGGGTGAAAGGCAATGGTAAGTCTCTGGGTGCCTTGGCAAGTATTCCTAAAGCACTTCTCCTTTCTACGGAAGTATGACGAGAAAGCACTTGCGTGATTAAACTGCAAGCTAAACCCTCTGCTTTTATCGTGGAATATCATTTTCACAGGAAAGAATATCTACAAACTATACTAACTCAGACTTAACTTCCAAAAAGTGAACCTGCCACTTCTGGGAAACAACTGATAGTATTTGCTGCCTATGATAAAATTCCAGCTTTCAAGTGAAAAATAAAATTGTGGAGATCTTAGACCTGCCATCATGAGCTTGACGGTGGTCCAATACATAAAGAAATTTCTCGTGATGTCCGTGTTGATATTAAATAACGTAATTTTAAAAATATGGTGTAATGAAATATGGTGTGATCAACATGTGGAAGATCTATCTGCATAACTCTGAACCAATACCTTCAAATCATCAATGAATTAACATATAAATACCTTTAAAGCGTCTCAGCTTTAATTTCTAATACAGTAAATATCGATAAACACTTAAACAAAAGCCCTTTGGGATCCCCAATAATTTGGAAGAGTGTAAAGTGGTCCTCAAACCAAAAGCTTTGAGAACCGATGATCTAAGTTATTGTTATGCAACCAAGTAATGGGGATCAACCTAAGGAAGTTCCTAATTCTCCCTCCTCTTTCTCCACTGTTTCTCCACCAGTGTTAGCCTCCCCTTCGGTGAAGAGCTGACCGACAGACCTTTCTATGTGTATTGCGGGCGGGGGTGATAGAAAATGTAACAAATAACCGGTTTTACTAGTCGGAAGGAATCAAATACTTTAAAAAACTAATTCTGAGTCTGCCCTTCCTCCTCTAGGGCTTCAGTTGGGCACAAACCCTGAGTAACACCATACAGGTGAGGGACAGGAGAACTGGGGCCGAATTCCGAAGAATACCGACAGGTGGGCGTGCGGGTGAGGCGCTGAGAACCTGCGCGGGAGTGAGGGGCAAATGTGGGGGGAGTTTTGCCAAAATCCTGGGTTTTCCTGCAACTCCCCCACTTTCTCCGGAGGCTGCCGAGTAAGGAGTGTAGGGGAGAACCAGGGGAAGAAGCGGGGACAGGGGGAGGCTCTCGCTCACCCCCCGGCCTCCCGCAACCCTCTCAGTACCAGTCCCTACTCCCGGGCTCCCCTCCGACCGCCCCCCCTACACACCCCGCGCCACGACCCCAGGCTCCTCACCACCAACAGGTTCCTGTCCTCCACCAGCTGCCGCTTCCGGAGGATCTCCGACTTCAGAACGTCCATGTCGTCGCCCGGCTTAAGCTGGAGGTCCTCTCTCCGGCTCCTCCGGCCAAGCCTCACCTGGCCGGGCGCTGCGGTGCACGGAAACCGCAGCCCAAACCCTGTAGCACTTCACTGACAGCAGCCGCTTCCGGCGGAAGCTGAGGTGAGTGACGGGAGGAGAGAGAGCACCCAGGGCGCCCGTTGTTGACGGAGCCGCCGTGGAGGAGCGGCCCCTAGCGGCGCCCTTGGGCAGCGCGCCCGCAGTGTTCACTTAGACACCTACAAATCAACACAAGTCTTCTGGATTGTGGGGACTTCTACCAGCTTCGTTTTAATGGTGATATTATACCCGCTAGTTCAGGCCCAAAAACCTCCTAGCGGAAGACCTCAATTATGTTAAATAAGACCAGATCCTTACTTATTATACCAGGGGTTCACATCTGAGTTTCTGAAGTTACCTGCTTGCCAAAATTAATGTACTAGAGAGTGAGGACAAATCTGAACACTATTTCCAGCTCATTCATATAAAATAAAAGGGCAGGGTTCATTGCTAGCCTGTTAAAGTCCATCTAAAGTTAACCAATTACATCCGCTGAAATCTTTTTCAGAAGTAAATTTGTCTTTCCCACCCTAACTACCTCACAGGAATACTGTGAAAAATCACAGGACAACAGATGTGAGAGCAAATTTTGAACTAGGAAGTGTAGCCCTCACGTAAAGTCGGATCATAATGACCCTTATCCTCTGTTGTGGCTCACATCACCTCTCCCACCTGCAATCTTCTCCAACCCCCTCCATACCCCCCATCCAAATCTTTCCCTAGTCCAGTGGTTGGCAAACTGTGGCTCCCGAGCCGCATGCGGCTCTTTGGCCCCTTGAGTGTGGTTCTTCCACAAAATACCACGTGCAGGCGCGCACGTACAGTGCGACTGAAACTTCGTGGCCCATGCGCAGAAGTCGGTATTTTGTGTAAGAGCCACACTCAAGGGGCCAAAGAGCCGCATGTGGCTCGCGAGCCGCAGTTTGCCGACCACTGCCCTAGTCCAAGGAGCTCTCCACCAGACCCTGAACTGGATCCTTCCCTTACAACTCCACTTTTGCCTCTTGCCCTTGTCCTCTTTGTCTCCATATCAGCGATTTTCATCTCCTGGCACACACAAACTAATTACTAAAATTCTGCGGCACACCAAAAATATACGTTTTGCTAATCTGACAAAGAAAAAGGTATAATTTTGATTCATTCACATCGGTTGGCTATTGTTATGTTGGCTGTTGTCATTTTTTTAATTTGACAATCCAAGGGAAAAGATATCAGTGCCTGACTAAATAGTCAGGTACTGCATGTTCTAAAAATTCTTGTGGCACCTCGGTTGAAAATCACTGCTCCATATTCCTACACTATGCTTGTCATTGTTCTTATCTGGTTTCCAAGCATCAAATTTGGAAGGCCCTAGCCTAGAGGAACTTCTGTAGACACCCTATGACAGCAGTGAGAAGTGATAATTGAGAATGGAGGAGAAGACTGTTAAAAAAAACAAACTCAGAAACATAAAGTTCTGCATGTAAAGGGTGTCCCAAAAAATGTATACATACTTTAACAGCTGTTAGGTCAATTTTGAAAATGAAATGTATTTTAATAAACACTGCCTTTATAATTATT